GCCTCCACTCAGAGCCTGCAACTCAGAGCTCATGACACTGAAATGCTAAGTGAAGAGCAATTACCTTTTGCTTCTGAAAACCCACTTTACTTTCCCATAACTCTTTGGGGGCCATTTCAACTAAGCCAAACCTTCCGCACATTCTCCCTCAGCAATAAATTACCTTCCTGGCTTTAATTAGCTGCTGGAGTGCAAAACAGGGCTGGGTGCTGACGGGGCAGCTTTTCCCACAGTCCCTTTCTGTCACCCTCCAGGAGAACAGCAGCTTCGGGAGGCATGGGGCCTCCTCAGCAGGGACGTGGCCCCCACGGGCACCTCACCTGCCCACTGCCCACAGGGGAACCTAACCCCAAGCCTACCCAGGTTAGAGTCTAATTATGAAGCCAGTCAGAGGGGCCTGGCACTAGCTGGTGTGGCCCAGGCCTGCTGCTCCCCTCCTCACACTCCCCTTCCCGCAGAACACCCAGCACGTACACACACGCACACACCAGCCCCAGGTAGCCAATATCTTTATCTCCTTGATTCTTGCTAAGGGAGAAATTACTGACAGAGCTTAACATATAAGCCCTCCCTGGAGACTCTGCTGTATAATTGTGAGCTAAGCTTGAATTGAAATGAGTAAATCTCTAAGAATGTGATTTTAGTCACAACTGTAGGCCGAAATAGTATTCACTGGAAAAGAAAGGAGTAATAAGGTATCCTGGGAATCCCTAACATCACTCTGAACCCCAGATTAGGATATGAGGCACACCCAACCCTATCTCTAACTAAAGTGTGACTGTCAGCAAATCCCTCTGTGTCCCTACCAGCTGAGAGAAAGGCGGATAAAGGCACCAGAGTCCCCTGGAGCCTGGCCACACTCTAAGTCCTGAGAGTGAGCATGCGTGTGTGTGTGTGTGTGTGTGTGTGTGTGCGCGCGCGCGCACATAGGGAAGTTCCATTCTATCCTGGACTTCAGTGCATTCTCCTGCTCCTGCTTTCTCAGAGTCTACACCATCTGGGCAATGGCAGCACCCACTGAGGCCCGAGTTCCAGCTGGGTGAGGACCCCTGGAAAGGGCAAGGCCACTCCCCAACTCTGTGGAAGGGCCTATGCTGAGGGCTTCTCCTCTACACCCCAGCTTACACCACCTCTGACAAGCAATGACCTTCCAGAGTCCAATTTATAGGCTTCTTTCTCCACCCTTCCTTTCTTAAGGAAAAAAGAAAAAAATCTTTTTTAAATAAAAGATTCCAAACACAGAGCCCCACCACAGGGCCTGCCTATCACAGGCCAGTGAAAGGCTGCGGCTCTATACACCCTTCCCTCTGATCCAGGGTGTGAAGGCTGAGCAGGGCCTCAGGCTGGAGCCCCAGCAAATCTCCATGTGTCCCAATTAACAGGCTGTCTGTCAGCCAGGTTGGGCGGGCAGTGGAGGCTGGCAGGCAGGTACTGAGCTGTCACAGCCCCATACAGGGCTATCCGCCACCACCCTGCCTGCCAACACCCTCTCCACCGCCCCACCGTCTGTGTCTTTTCCTGTCACACACCTCACATGGTGAGGAGTGCACAACTCCCTGGGTCCCAGGGGAGACAGCAATCGTGGACCCCAGCAGCTGCTCCTCTCCGGGTCGCCTGGGAGGGCCCATGTCAGAGGGGAGGCGGGTTCCAGCTTCCCCATCCCATCTCTGGAAGTTGGTGACCCCAAAGGAATTTGTAGCAGAGGAGCCCAGAGAGCCACAGGGTTTCCAAAGAGCCTGCGAGCCAGTCTGAGTGTTCTCTGGGAACCATGACATGGTCAGCCCAGGTCCTCTCCTGTGGAAAAATGTGACAGGACTGAGTCCAAGCTCTGCAGAATTCCCTGCCCTAACCAATCTCCTACAGCCTGCTCTTCCTCCAGGCTGATTCCAGGAGGCTTCACGGCTCCACCTCCTGCCTCAGTGTGACCCACAGTAAGGCCCTTGGTCCCTGGAGGGCTTGGCCTCACTCCAGTCACAGGAACCAAAATCACACAGCCAGGTCTCCCTCAAAACCCAGTCCCTCCAAGGCTGACATGATCCTGGTCATGTCCACCTACTCCATGATCTGAGGGGGAAATCTTTCCTTGCCAGTCTTCCTGGGGAACACCCAGCCTCTAAAAGTCTCCCTCCCTTCCTCTCTAAATAGATGAATAAAACCCACCCACTCAAGCTCCTCCAAAACAAGATGATGACCTGTACACAGACAGCTGTGTGGGTCAAACCTTTCAGAGTGGGCTAGTATGGTAGCCTGAACTCTTCCCTGCCACTCAAGCTGGAAATCAGTTCTCATGTGCAACCATGTTGACCTGCTGCCTTCAGAAAAACACCTCTGTCCCTTCCCTTCTCTTTACCTCAGTCCAGCAGGAAGTCTAGTCTCCATGGCACAAATTCATAACTTTGACCACATGAGTAGCGAGCTGGGTGGAAGCATGTATGCCCATCCTAGAGATCATTTGGGATACCTCGGTCAGTGTGAGGTGGGGAGAAGAGAAAGCGAACCATTCCGGCAAAGGAAGGAATGAAGGAGAAGACTGAAATGAGACTAGGTTTAACTCCCAGAGGGAAGAAACTGCCCAGATGGGTCTTTCTGCTCCCAGTGTCTGCCCATTGTAAGTACACAATGAACACTGGCCAAACGAAGGAGAGAAGGATCAGTTTATACCATGGCTCTCCCACATTCTTCAGCACCAGGAAGACCTAATGTTTGTCCCCAGTGCTCTATATAGGCCTCAGTTCAACTACTATCATCCTCTTCATTGTCCCATGAGGGAAGATAGAGGCAAAGAAGAAAGATTCTGGGGGATGAAAAAGCAAAAATAGAGAACAGTGAGTAAATATGCTTGGATTATACCAACAACATGCTCCTTCTCGAAACCTTATCCTGGGGGTGCAGACGTGCACAGCAATGTCCAAGCAGCTCCAGGAAGCATCATATGCTTCAAAATTTGCAAAATTGATACTAGAAGGAGAGAAGGAAGGAAAGAAGAAAAAAAGAAATGATGTTCTCCAAACTAAAGCTACAGAAGAGCTTACAACCATGCCACCTTTCATTCACATGTGATAGCAACCCCTCCTTGTAAAGGAGAATCTGAAATCATGGAGACGCAGATAGATAGAACCTAAATGCCAGCTCCTGTCCATGGCAAGGGAGAACATATATCAAATCTGTTAATTACAATCCAATTTGTGCTCACACTGTGAAAGATAATCCTTTGCTGTCGAAGAGATGCCTATCCCTTATTAAAGCCACTGAGACTCTCCAGAAGTGCTCAAGGGTCTGAGATTCTGTATTTGAATTTCACACATGCTTTGTACTGCTGGGGCCCAAACTCAGTCAGCACTTGAAAGTGCTGATACCAACATTCAAGCCATGGGGGTCTTCACTCCTTCACAATAGACCTACAGACAGGGCCTGGATAACCAATTTGCTAATTTCTTCTCTGGATTTGTGTGTGGGTGTGTGTGGATAACACACACAGAATCCTATATCATTTTTCAAATGGAGTTGCAGTAGAAATAAAAGGACCCAGGCCAAGTTGAAGAAGCGAACAGTCAACCTCATTTCTCTATGATCTGAGGCTCGGTGAAGCCCAGCCACCCAGGAGTGGGGTCCATGCCTTCACTTTCATCTCAAAGTCATGCCCACAGTGGCTTAGACACCAGGCTCCTTGTCCAGTGCTGGCCCCAGGGCTGTGCTCCGGACCCAAGCAGGCCTGCAGTCAGAAGCTAGAGATCAGAAATTATCACTTTCCCTCCAAAGCTCTTCAGCAGGACCTTGATTCTGAGTCACTTTCCCCACTCCTGTTTCTTCCTCTGGAATTCAGGCTTAACCCAAGAAAGACTGGATTCCTGACTCCATATGCCAGTTGCTCAGTGAGAGCACGCTGAGTGGTAGTGATGCCATGGAATACAGTGCACTGGGCTTGAATAGATGAAAGATAGTGTTGAGAAACCCTACTGCCATCCAAGGGGATGTTTCCTTCCCTCAAGCTGCATGGCTGGAAGCAGATGGATTGCCATAGAGTCTAAGGCGTACTACATCATAGAGCATAGTCTATGCCTTATAGCCCATTCTATGGCTTATAGCATAATCCATAGCATATAGTATACATAGAATATTATAGGCCACAGCATAAGATGGTTGAAAACAAACAGCCTAGACTATAACATATAGCATATAGCATAGTCCATAACATATACAGCACAGCATATACTATAGCATACAGTCTGGTCTATAATATATAGTGTATGTAGTACTTATAGCATAGCATGTAGCATATAACATACAGCACAGTGTTATGGTTTAGATCTAAAATGTCCCCCCCCCAAAGTCTCCTGTGCTCAGAGGCAGGGCTTTTGAAAGGTGATGGATGAGGGGAACACTGTACTTATCAGTGCAATAATCCATTGATAAGTTCATAGCTGAATGTGCTGGCAGGAGGTGGGGCCTGTTCAAAAGAGACAGGTCACTGGGAAGGTGTATTCTCGTCCCCAGCTCCTCCCCTCTTGCTCTGCTTCCTGACTCCCACTGGTTGAAGAGCTTTCTTCTCCCATGCCCGGCCACCACACTGTTTCTGCCTTAGAGCCTGCCAACCATGGACTGAACCCACTAGAAACTGTGTGCCAACTAAATCTCTCCTCCTTTAAGCCGTGGGTGTCAGGTATTTTGTCCCAGCCATGTGGCACACCACATACACCACACATATAGCATGGTTGACAATATACTACAGCCTGGAGCCTACTTGATTATAGACCAAGGTCTGTCTACCTTATAATAGAATTTTCACATACACCCAAAAATAATGTTGAACACTCTCACAAACTAATATGCTGCTGTCATTACCTCTGTTTTATATATGCAGAAGCTCTGGCCCAGAGAAGCTGAGTAATTTGCCCAAGCTCTTACAGTCAGGAAATGGCAGAGAAGGAATTCAGACTTAGCCTTCTCTGAATAAATTGGGAGTAGGCAAGTGGGAGACCCCCTACCTCTGTGAATAACATTATCAGTCCGGCACATCTTCCCAATCCCAGAGGACCATGATAGACACAAGTGCAACACCACCACCTGGCATGGCTGACTGAGAGATTTCCTTCCTATGATTCTCTTGCTCAGAGCTGTCCTTGCTGCTCCTGTGTATGAGGCAAGGGGAGACAGAAGCAAAGTCAGGAAAGGGAAAGCCGAGGCACAGGGACATGTGGCATGATGAAAAATCAATGGTGACACCCAGATTATAACTCCAGTCACTTGGTCCATCCCCAACTCGCTCCCACACTCAGCCCAGCCCTGCTTCCTCCCATGTGTGTCTGTGCCTGGGATATGAGGGACAGATGTAGACTTCAAGGATGAAGGCTTTCAGATAAAGTTCTTTTTTTTTTTTTTGGTATCAGGGATCAAACTCAGGACCTTGCACTTTCGAGGCAGGTGGCAGCACCACTAAGCTAAATCCCTGGCTTCTTCAGGTAAAGTTCTTGACACTAGATGCCTTTCAGTGGTGGGCAGGACAAGGAAGGTGACTGAAAAGATGGACATACCAGAAGAGAAGGTAGCAGGATGCAGAGACAAGAGGCACCATATCCATGGGGAGAGAGAAAACTCAAACACTGCATCCATATTGCAGTAGAGGCCAAGCAGCCCCCATTCCATGCCCACATCCTCCTGACAGCATCCATATTCCCCCTCCCAGCTTTACAACCCAGTCCCCAAAGCAATTTCTAAAAGGGAATTTCTGTGCCTAAATTGATTGGACTCTCCCCACCCCCAACTCCCATCAGCCTCCAAAGTAGGTTTCATTCCATGGCCAGCTGGTCCCAAGGCAGAGCAGCATGGCAGAAGAGAAAGTGCTCATGATGTGGCAATAGGAAGCAGACAATGATGAAGGAAGGATGGAGAGAAACTGAACCTTCTAAGCCATGCCTCCTCTGACCAGGCTTCACCTCCCAACAACACATCGGTGAACTAATCCATCAATGAGTGTCAGGTCTCCATGATCCTATCACCTCCCAAAAGCCCCACCTATGAGCACATGAGGCTTTGCGGGGACCACATCTAGATAAAAAGCATAACAGCTTCCTTCTGGTACAGGCAATCTCTGATCACAACCCTCGCCCTGCTTTCACCCAGCAACCACCTGTACCTGCTACATTCCAGATGTGGGCTCTGTGCTTGCAGGAATGCAAAGAAGTGGAAGACAAAGTCACTGCCCTAAACACAATTACAGTCTATGAGATTAAGAGTTTCTATTTTCCTGCTACAAGCGTAGGCAGACTATTACCAATCCATGCCTCAGTTGCCCTTCTGAGTCCTATGGCAAACCTCACAACCCTCCCTCATTAAGGGCCCCCAACAGACCATTCCCATGGGGTGATGGTGGCGTGCAGTACATACCTCCTCTGTCCTGGAGAAGAAGTTTGACAAATAGTCATTGGGTCCCTGACTCTACTCTTCATATCTTCTGGAGATATTATCACCTCCAGGAGGAAATCATGCCTGAGAGGAGTCAAGCAAACTCCTCCACCCGCAGCCAGGAAGGGCAGAGATGGGACTAAAGCACATACTCCAGAATACAGTGGAATCACCCCTGAGTAGAGTGGAGAGTTGAATCACAATCATAATTGAATAAACTGTCAGCAGCAATTTCCACAGCACTTACTGAACACATGCAAAAAACAATGCTTAGATTGATGGTGCAAATGGGGACAACCTCTTTGGAGAGCAATGTGGCAATATCGATCAAAATCTAAATGCACAAATCCTGAGTGCCAGAAGTTTCATTTATATGAATTTATCCAACTGTACAAGGTTTCTCACTGAAGCACTATGTATAATAGAAAAAATCTGGAATCATCTAAGTGCCCATCAATAGGTAATAGGTTAAATAAACCCGTTCATTCATAAAATGAAATATTAATACTATGCATGCATTAAAAAGGATGAGGTAGGGCTGTGGGCACTAACATGAATGCATGTCCATAAAAGGATCCTCAACAGAATAGCAAGCTGCAATATTATTGGTATGATATGATCCTTTAAGCATTGTATACATAACACACAAACAGCATATCCACTCTGGAGATGTCTGGAAAATATACACTGAGCTATTATCAATGGCTACCGCTAAGAGGAGGTAGGAGACAGGGGACTTCTCTCAATGATGTGCATTGCTTTTACAGACCTTGTATTGCTTTCAAAGGTTTTAATAAAACTTACATAAGTCACTATGTGCTACATGTTGGAAAGCAGTCCTTCAGAGAAATAACTGAGGACCAGAAACCTAGAGCCAATGTGGGCTTCCCCTCAAGGAACCTGCATCCTAGGGCTTTAGGTCCTCTGTGACTTTGGTGGCAATACAGTTCTTGAGTACTCACATTCCATGATTACCTAGTCCTTTCTTCAAGAGCTGAGGCACCTGAAGGAAAGCAGAAAGGCCACAGTGGATGTGACTCAGAATAGCTAGAACCAAGCCTGGCTTCAGAACTTTGGATAGGTCATGGCTTTCCTTAGACCTCAAGTGTGCTCATCTCTAAACAGGTATGATGCTAGAACCTACCACAGAGGATTGCTGTGAGGGTTCATTAGAACAAAGAAGGTTAAAGCATCTCTTAAAAATCATGTTGGAAAATAATTAAAGGAATTGAAATCATCTGTGACTGGTGCCTCCCATTGGAGAAGCTTGGTCATCAGAGGACAGTCCTATCCCAGCCACAACACCAGGCCCTCCCCTTCTGCATTAGTTTGGCAAAGTGATGGAAATTGCCGAGTGCTCATAAACACTCCAAAGAATACTACCCACCTCTTAGGGATGGAGGTCTGGGATTATGTAGCCAAGGAAAATGATCGTCCTGCTGAGTGACCTCCAACAATGAGCCTTCTGCGTCAGTTTCTAAATCCCCAAGTAAATATCGCTTCATTGGTCTGTTGATTAAAATCACTGATGGTGGGTCTGATGGCTGGCTGCCTGGAGACCCAGGGAGCTGAAGCAGCAGTGAGGTCACCCAGGAATCCTTCAGCAAGGAGGCTCCTGTGGTTCCTAAACTTAGCCCTTCCTTCATACCCTCTCCCTCCCTTCTTTCTCTCTCGTTTTTGTACCACTGTGCCCCCAGATCCACCATGAGTCAACTCTCCCCACATCAATAGAAATTAGCTCCCATAAGAACACCCCTGGGCTGGGGGAAATAATCATTAACTTAATAGGCTGATATAATTACATTAAATAGTGATGCTCATTGCAGAATATAGAGTAAGAAAACTGAGCTTGAATTCTAACTCCACCACTTCCTAGAGAAGGAATCTTGGATCACTAAACTTTAGTTTCCCCAACAAATAAATTGGGGTTGGTCAGAAAACAATTCACACAATTGTTAAAGATAAGTAGGTGAAGCCACCGCCTTATACATGTAAGTCCCTAATGCAGGTAGGTGGGTGTCATTGAGCGCCATACAGCTCAGTTTCTGTGTTAGTTCAGGTGATCATCTCAATGTGCCCAGGGAAATGAGGCTGTAGAAGGCCAAGCCATTTCCCCAGAAATGGCTGGTTAAGGGGACTCCAGACATGAAGACTTCTGGTGTTCTCCCTACCGTGTGAGCAGATTACAGGGGGTCTGTGCTGATGGGTCTCTCTTGCCTACTAAGGAGCAGCAAGGGCAAGTGCACGGGTCTTGTCAGACTCATCCCCATCTCCTCAGGATGGCCAGGAAAGACAAGAGTGTGGAGAAGCCCCAGAAGCATCTGAAGCCGGAAAGCAAGGCTGAGTCACAGGAGAAAGGTGGTGAGGAACAGCAAACGGAAAGGGTTCCAGGAGTGGATCCCAGCCCCACCCATAGGTCTTTCACACCAGCGATGCTGAGGCGGCCTTCAGTTCCTCTGAAAATTCCCAAATCCTTCTGTAATCTCAAGCAAGTGTGCAATCATTCTATAAATATTTGCTGAGAACTTGCTCTGAAAAGGCACAGGGCTGGGCCTCAGGAGCTAGAAAAATGAGCTCCTTGTGTGCTCACTGTGTTCTGCCCATGTGTTGTTACCTATCCTCCCTGGAATGTGTTTGCTCTAGGTGGAATGCGCACTCCCTCTTCTTGGGAAGAGAAGATGCAACTGCATAGACATGTCATTCATCTCAAAGTAGGAGGGGCTAGGATCCCAGTGCAGGGGCCAGCACTGTGCACTGTAGGCACCTGGAGGAAGAGTTTCACAGCTTAGCAGAGCCAGACAGCGTAGCCTTTCCTTCCATGTGGGTTTTGAGTGATTGTTCCTCCCTACTGGTTATGGCAAGGTAGAGTTAAAGCACTTTTTCATATTGAGGATTGTGCCTGTGTTGGGTGTGTTACTATCTGAATTTTTAATTACATAATAAAACATCATAGAAACCATCAGATTGCATCAGTTGTAGCAAAGGTAAATAAACATACCTTCAAAAATAAAGCACTTGCACATGCATGTGGTCTGAGGTCACCATGGAAAGAGTAGTATCTTTTGCTGTGGGCTGCATTTCAAATTTGAAATGCACTGAACTAGAATGGCAAGGGAAGTAACCCTGGAGAATAGGTACCTCCTTTAGAAGGAAAGGCATGATCAGTACTGAGAGCTAGGAAGGAGAAAGATCAGTAAAGATCCCTGACCTCCTAGACTCCCCCTGCTGGAGTCAGACGCTCTTTCCTGCTATGGTGAGCTCCTTACCAGCCTCCCCTCTCCACTCTCTAACCCAACAGGAGAAGCCAGGGACTAGTGCACCACCAAGACAAACGGCCACAGCTCCTCTGGAGCCTAGTGCTCCACACCATAGTCCATTCTTCAAGTGTGTTATATGGGAGGCCAGGTAAAAAGAAGTGGCTGTGTGACTTCATGGAAATCATTTAGGTCTCTGAGCCTCACCTTCATCTGATAGCAATGAATGTAAACTGAACACAGATAGTTCTTACCTTTCTCATCATATGATGAGCATTCCTCAAGTAGAATTTATACCCTCTATTAATTTTGTAGTAAACCACTCCCCACTGGTACTGTGAATAGCACTGGACACATGGTAGATACTTGATATTGTGACTTAACTTGAAAGCTGTGCTGAATAAAAAGAAGAAAACAAAAAAAGGGACCCTTGCACACTATTTATGGGAATGTAAATTAGTACACCAATCATGGAAAACAGTTATGGAGGTTTCTCAAAAAATTAAAAACAGAACCATCATACCAGCAATCCCTCTACTGGATCCAAAGAAAATGAAATCAGTAAGTCCAGAAAGACATCTGCACTGCCATATTCATTGTTGCACTATTCACAACAGCCAAGAATGGAAACAACTGAGATGTCCATCAACTCATAGATGGATAAAGAAAATGTATTACCTGGGCCAGGGATTTAGCTCAGTGGTTTCGCCACCTGTTGTGCAAGTTCAATTACCTGAGTTCAATCCCCGGTACCAAAAAGAAAATGCATTACTCATATGCAATGGAATACTATTTAGTCATGAAAAGAAATGAAATCCCATCATTTATGATGACATGGATGGAATCAGAAAACATCATGCTAAGGGAAATAAGGCAGGCACAGAGAGACTGTACCACATGATCTTACTTCTATGTGGAATCTAAAAAATGTTGATCCCACAGAAGTTGAGAGTAGAATTGTGGTTACCTGAGTCTGGGGACAGTGAGGAGGGAAGGATAAAAAAAGGTTGATCAATGGGTACTGGTGTCCTACTGCACAGCAAGGTGACTATAAATAACAAAGATGTGTCGTCCGTCTCAAAAGCTGGAAAAAGGGATTCTTCTATAAAGACATAATAAATGTTTAACCTAATTTAAACAATTAACAATGTATGCATGTATTGAAGCAGCACATTACCTTATTATTATGTACAATTTGTGTTTTATGTAGTATCAGTTAAAAATAAATTTAATTGTTTTAAAAAAGGAAAACTTAATACCAGTCACACCAACTCTCACACTTAGATGATAGTAGTAACCCCCAACACACACACATACACACACACACACACACACACACACACACAAAGATTTCTCACCTGGTCAAGAATGAGACTCCATATCACTCTGCTGATTAACCCTGAAAAGAAAATGCCGGACAGTGATGGTGGTTAACAGAGTTGTAGTCCAATGTGGAACTTGGGTTGTGAGCAGTGCATACGGAGCCCTTTCCAGGTACACATGACACTTTCCTGGAACCAGAGTCAAATCAGCCTTTGAGGTAAAAGCTTCACCAGCTTGCTGAGAAGAGAATCTGTGCAGAAAATTCAAGGTCATTCAATTTATTTCTTTCATCCTACAAGGAGTATCTAAACATTCACTATGAGCAAAGCCTCACATGCAGGCCATGAGGGTGTTACAAAGAAAAAGGCTCAGTCTTGGTCCTGCTCATTATCCACCCAAAAGCATACCCAGATTCCTAAGGAGAATTGTTTAATGAGGTAAGTACTTTAAGAGTTCAGATAAAGGGGAAATCTTTGCCAGAAAGGCCTCAAAGGCAGTGGAATTTCATGTGAGCAAGGGGAGGAGCAAGGACAAGCCAGCCCCTGAAGAGGCAGTAGCACCAGCAAGGCCCCATGGTAGCTCTGCATCCTCCTCTGCAGGGAGACCATGAGAGTGACCAATGAAGCTTGGTGCAGGGGTGCACAATGTAATCCCAGCAGTCTGGGAGGCTGAGGCAGGAGGATCACAAGTTTGAGCCCAGCCTAGGCAACTCAGCAACTAAATGAGATCCTGTCTCAAAATTTTAAAACATGAAAAGGGCAGGGGATGTAGATCAGGGCAAAGACCCTGGTTTCAATACCATTGTGAAGAAAAAAAAGATAGATAGATAGATAGATAGATAGATAGATAGATAGATAGATGATAGATAGAGTGGCCATTGGGCTAGACAGAGGTGCCATTTAGGGAGAGGCAAAAAGCATGAACAGAGTCCAGGGCAGGCCCACCCAAAAGGCTTTTCAGGCCAGCCACAGCCGTGCATCTGATCTCATGGTCATGAGGAAGCAGATCTACCCCATGCCTGGCTCCCCCAGGAGAGGAAAGCCAGGAAAAATCACATGGTGGAGCTAAGCTGCCCAGAGAAACTCCACCTGCCCTGCCCCAGAATCATCCTCCCACTCAACATGTGCATGTGGCTGGGTCCAGACCCGAAGCCTGGGCAGCCAAGGGGCCACACCGCTCTCCCAGGAGGAGCGATCCTGAGACAATGAGGCCCAGCTCTGCCTTCCAGGTTGTGCCGCCAGCCTGGGCCTGGCCTCTGCTGCTCTGCTCTCCAGATTCCAGCTGTCCTGCTCAGGAGGTTCAGCCAAGCCTGGCCAGGTGCACCACCTCTGCTGCGGCTCTCCAGTGGGCTCTGTCCATGTGTGCACAGCACATTACAATTTTCAAAGCACTTCTCACAAAGATTTTCTCATTTAGCCCTCAAGAGCTTGGGGAGGCAGGTTGGGGAGAGGAGACTCAGCGGTCTAGGGCTCAAAGCTGCAAGCATTTGACCCCAAATACACACAACTTCCTCCAGCCCAGAACAGAAATGGCCCTGCTTACTTCTCTGCATCCCTATGTCCTCACCTGTACAACAGGGTTAGTAATGACACCTACGTGCAGGCCTAGACAGCTTAATAAATCCAAAGCTCTGCAGGTAACACGTGACACAGAGAGCACATGCTTGCTGGGTAGATGCCAGCTCCTATCATCCTTAGCACCCTTGTCCCGTTAGCACGGTTCCTGTGGCTGTGCTATGGTGGGCCAGCAAAAACAAATAAAGCATGTTGTATGGGAAGCAAACACAATTTGGCTTCTGCCCCCGCAATGTGAAGTACATCACAGAAGCACTTTGGTCCTGGAAAACAGAAGTCATAGGAGAGGAAGTATTTTTCATAACAGAACACTTTCAAATGTCCCACAGCTGACATCTGAAAAACAGACCCCTCTGGGGCCACTTTCAGCCTCTAAATTCCCAGCTCCATTCCCTATTTCCTCTTGTGAGCTGCTACCTGAAATAAAAATGCAAAGAATGCTGATAAGACTTGGAAATGCCTTAAGAGTAAATTAGCTCAGTCTTCTTGTTTTAAAAATTGAGAACATGTCATTTCTCACAGAGCTAAAGAAAACAATCCTAAAATTTATATGGAGTCAGAAGAGACTCAGCATAGCAAAGGCAACCCTGGGTAACAAAAGCAAAGCAGATGGCATAACAGTCCCAGACCTGAGGTTATATTATAAAGCTGCAGTGCTTAAAACAGTGTGATACCACACAAAAACAACCATGTGGATCAATGGAACAGAAGAGAAGAAGCAGAAACAATCCCAGACACATATAGCTATTTGATCTTTGACAAAGGTGCCAAAAACATACACTGAAGGAAAGATAGCCTCTTTAATAATGGTGCTGTGAAAATTGGATATACAGAGCAGAAGACTGAGTCTCGACCTATACCTCTCATCATGTACTAAACTAAAATCAAACTGGATCAAAGATCTAAACGTTAAAACAGAAACACTTAATATGCTGTAATATAAAATAGGCACAGGCAAGGACTCTCTGAACAGAACCCAATGACAAAAAAACTAATACTGAGAATCAACAAATGGGATCATATCAAATTAAAAAGTGTCTGCACACCAAAGGAAACAACCAAAAGAGTAAAGAAACAACCTACAGAATGGGAAAAAGAAATTGCCAGCTGTTCCTCAGAGGACTAACATCAAGAATATATAAAAAACTCAAAAAAAATTAGACCTCCAAAACAAATGACCCAATAAAAAATGAGCAACTGAAATGAGTAGACACTTCTCAACAGAAGTACAAATGTCTAATAAATACATGACCAAATCCTCATCACTGCTGGGTATCAAAGAAACGCAAATTAAAACTACACTGAGATTCCTCCATCTTATCCCAGAAAGAATAGCTTATCATCAAAAAATCTAATAATAAGTGATGGCAAGAATGTGAGGAGAAAGGAACTCTACTACATTGCTGGAGGGAATCTAAATTAGTACAACTACTATGGAAATCAGTGTAGAGAAACTAAAAATATAAATTCTATTTGACCCAGGTATCCCCCTTCTAGGTGTCTTCCCAAAAGAGTTAAAATCATCAATTACAGGGATACATGCATGCCTATGTTTATAGCAGCACAATTTATAATAGTTATATCTTTGAAACAGTGTATATGTCCATCAACAGATGAATGGATAAGGAAAATGTGGTATTTCTACACAAGGGAGTACTATGCTGCCATAAAGAAAGATAATCTTAAGACATTTATAGATAAATGGATGCAATTTGAGAACATGAGGTTAAGTGAAGTAAGTCAAGTCAAGCCAAGTCAAGTCAAGTGAGTCAAGCACAAGCCCAAAATTGCATGGTTTCTCTTATGAGAAACACAAATAAAGAAGAAAATAGAAGAGAGATAAATAAGAAATAGGGAGTTCAAATACTCCCCCAAACTACAATTTCCATTGTTTTAAAAATATTTCAAGGAGCCAGGGATTTAGCTCAGTGGTTCTAGCACCTGCCTTGCAAGTGCAAGTTCCCAAGTTCAATCCCTGGTACCAAAAAAATAAAATAAAATAAAAATATTTCTATATATATGCTAATTTGTTACATTTATACTACTATTTCATCTTAGTTTATTGAAAAGAAAGATTTATGTTACTATCTGTTTGTTTCTTTTTTGCAAGAATCTTTTAGGGGTTTTTTTGTTTTGGTTTAGTTTTTTGGTTTTTTGCTTTTTGTTTTGGTTTTTTGGGGTTTTTGGGTTCAAAACTCAGGAGCTTGTGCTTGCAAAACAGGCCCGGTGCCACTGAGCTAAATCCCTGGCCCAGAATCTTTTTGTTTTACTGTCTTATACTCTGCTTCAAAAATAATGATACACAGTATAATAACTATTGTTACTCTCCTATTATTTGATTATTAAATTTTGTGGGTATTTTTATAAAATAGACAAATAAAAATTCAGAACATGATGCCTGGACGAGAAAGCAACACAGGCTGAACCAGAGGGACAGTGAGGAGCAGCCAGGACACAAGACCAGCTCCTCTGCTTCCCAGGCTGAGTGTCTTCCCACCTGGCTTGATGCTGTTGTTTGAGTTTGTTTTATTTAGTTTTTCTACATTTCTTTAACATTTCTTTGTTTTCTGGCTTTGAAAAGGTATTGCAAGCTAGGTGTGGTGGCACATACCTGTGATCCCAGCCCTCTGGGTGGCCGACAGGAAGAGGATCACAAGTTCAACCCTAGCTGGTCAAACTTAGTGACACCCTGTGTCAAAATTTAAAAAATGAACAGGGCTGGGGATATAGTTCAGTGTGAAGATCCTGGGTTCAATCCCCAGTTTTATAGAGAGAGAGACACACACACACATATTCCTGGGATCTTTTCTAAATTTGGTGGAAGACATCAGCAGTGCCAAGGAACACAGGCCACAGAAATGCTTCTCACTGCTTTTCCTCTTAGGCTGTGGCCTTGTTTGCTGAGGCTGCTCCCAGGTGAGCTGTCCCTTAAGACTCGGTGGATTTAAATGTAGGGACAAAGGCTCCGTAGTGTGCATTTGTTGAGTGGAGCATGGAGGCTGCAGGGTGATGGCAGAGATCAGAAAGCCACTCTGTCAAAACAGCCCTTCAAGGAGTAAGGATCTTCTGCATCCAGCTTCTACTGAACCATCTGGCCTAAAATCTCTTTCCTTGAGAACATGAACCAGTTCTCCTTGAAAAAAGTCAAATAACATGGGAAGCACAGTAAGACAGTCTCTCTCTCTCTCTCTCTCTCTCTCTCTCCCCCCCTTCCTCTCCTCTCTCTCCCTTTTTCCTCTCTCTCTC